CGGGTGGCGAGCGGCGCGCACCGGCCTCCGGCTTCTCGCTCCGAGGCGGCGGGACGGACGCTCCCGGGAACTCTCTCGCCCGCGGCCGGCCGCGCTCTGACGGCGCTCGCCGGCGGCCGGGCGGGCGCAGCATGTCGGCCGCCGTGGCGTGCCTGGACTACTTCGCCGCCGAGTGCCTGGTGTCCATGTCCGCGGGCGCCGTGGTTCACCACCGCCCGCCGGACCCCGAGGGCGCAGGCGGAGCCGCCAGCTCGGAGGTGGGTGCGGCGCCGCCGGAGTCTGCTCTGCCGGGTCCGGGGCCACCGGGGTCCGCGTCGGTCCCCCAGCTTTCCCAGGTCCCCGCCTCCAGCCCCGGCGCGGGCGGCGCCGCGCCCCACCTGCTGGCTGCAAGCGTCTTGGCTGATTTGCGCGGCAGCTCTGGGGAGGGCTTTGGAGAGAACTCGGGGGAAACTCTGCGCGCCTCCTCTGGCTCCTCCGACCCGACCCAAGGCTGGGGGCCGCCCAGGTGCCTCCAGCCCGACCCAGCCTACAGCGTGGAAGCAGTCTCGGGACCTTCGAGCACATTTGGCGCGCCCGCCGTCCCAAGCGCGCCAGCAGTCCCTGGCGCGCCCGCAGTCACCTGTGGGGTGTCCGGCAGGGCCCCAGGAGCCAGCCCCGCCCCTGCAGCAGGTCAGATGTACCGGAGAAGGCCGGTAACACCTGCTGCCAAGCGCCACCAATGCCCCTTTCCGGGCTGCACCAAAGCCTACTACAAGTCATCACACCTCAAGTCCCACCAGCGTACCCACACGGGTGAGCGCCCTTTCTCCTGCGACTGGCTCGACTGCGACAAGAAGTTTACGCGTTCTGACGAGCTGGCCCGCCACTACAGGACGCACACGGGTGAAAAGCGCTTCTCCTGCCCTCTCTGCCCCAAGCAGTTCTCCCGGAGCGACCACTTGACCAAGCATGCCCGCCGCCATCCAACTTATCATCCCGACATGATAGAGTACCGGGGGCGTCGCCGCACACCCCGCATCGATCCACAACCTACCAGTGTGGTGGAAAGCTCCAGCTCTGGCTCCAGCTCTGGCTCCAGCTCCTGCTCTGGTTCTGGCCAGACTCCCAGCCTCACAACCTACTTGTAGGACAGTCATTGCTGTCTGTTGTCCCATCAAGGACTGTTCCTCCAAGTTTTTGTCCCCGCTTTCTCTCTGCCCATCCCACTTTTCTAGAGTCTTTAGACCAAGGCACAGACTGAGTCCTCCTCTCTGAGGGTGGGTCCAGACGGGTATGTTGGACTATGGGGAGGGACTGGGAGCAAGAAAATAGTGGAAATTTTTACAACACAAATACCATCCTAAAAGTAGGAATTGCCTCAAGACAGTCCCCAGGAACTTGTGAGAAGGGATGAACTCATGGTACTCTGCAGAGTACTGAAGATTCTCCCCACCCTGGAACCAGAAATGTGAAACTGGAATTCTCAGATGGCTGAGGAGCTCCCAGTCTCAAAGGACTGGTGTCTCACCCACCAGGGTGGACCTTGGAGAGGGTGTCAGGGGTGGCAGTCTTGGAAATGTCCATGACTGGGTTGGTGAGAGGCCTTTGGAAACAGAAATTATTTCTATTTCTGTAAACAGCAATGTTTACTAATTTATTTTTAGTATCTTTTAAACAAGGATTCAAGGTTGATAGGACACTGATGTCCTCCCCCAGTTGCCCCAGCTACCTCTGCTAGGAGAGGCTATGTAAGTGTCCATGTGGATGTATGGCTGGGAGATGTTTCTTGGTGTCTGAGGAGTGGTGTGAGTATGTTTGTAGGTTTTATAGCATGATTTGAAACCATGCTTTTTCGTCTGTAGCACTTCTCCCAATTTGAATTTTACTTACAAATGGTAACTTTCAGGCTTACGCAGAATGAGATTAGTTAAACAATGTGGCAACAACCGTAAAAGTACCAGAAATTGGCTATCACCTAGATGGCAACCAGGTCACCTTTTGGGCGGAGTGGGTATAAAATAAGACCTTACAAAACCATGGGTAACATTCAGGGAAACAGGGGCATGTGGTTCCAGCTGCCCAACCTCAAATGATCTCAGGGGCATAGATTCTGTTCATTTTTTAGTGGCTAACTAGTGGTTTATTTCCCTCAAGGTCTGAGCATTGTGTTTCTGTTACAGGTGAATTGGTGGGCGGGAGGAGGCAAGGTGAAAGACTGATTTCTGCCAAAGAGCTGGCTGCCTTGGATTTGGTGAAGGAGCAGCAAGGTGATAGCTTTTATTAAGTAATAGAATCCTTCTCCTCTGACTGTGAAGTCCCTCCACGGTTACACCCTCAGGACCCTTCTCCCCCATCCCCATGAAGGAATCAGGCATCAACAGTATTTATTTTTCCTACTATGTGGCCCTGCTGCTGTGGATGAAATAATTAACCACTCTGCTTGTATATGTGTGAATGTGTATATATGTGACTCTTTCTTTAGAGATGAGACTGAAAGGCATTTCTCAACTTGATGAGATCTCCTCTGGCCTCCTCCTGGATATCTTGTAATAGTCCTTCAAACACACTTGTGGAGGATACCATAATCTCAGAGGACCATAACAGGCACCTGATTAAACAAATGGCTTTCACCTATTTTGCAGATGAAGATACTGAAGTCTATATCATTTCAAAGTCATGTTGAGTTTTTGGCAAGAGCCAAGATTAGTACTGGGGTATCTGACCTTGTAATGACTCCCTCACACTTGGTTCCCCATCTTCTTCCACTCCATAGACCCTTTGACAAAAGACAGCGCTCTATCTTCCCTTCCTTCCTGCCACTGGGATTCCTTCTAACCCTATTTCCTTCCAGTTCTATGTGTCTTCAAATGTTGGGTCTTTTCCTGAACACTTTGCTTATTGTACTTAAACCAAAAGCCCTTTTCTTAACAGATTGCATTCATTCCCATTCTCTGCACCATGTGGACTTAAAGGTGAGAGTGATTCTTTCATATCTGAGGAGAGATCTTTTTTTTTAATAACTGCTAAAATTTCAGTGTCAGTTTTCTTTTTCTAGTCCTGGACATTCCACTATCCTTGAGAACATGATACAAACATAGGATTGGGACACTGCTAAGTCCTCCTACACTTTATGAGGGAGGGATCCTTAAGAACACAAAGAGTATAGTCTGTGACCGTAAAGAGGTCCAGTGTTTCTGGGTGAGAGTATAACAGGGCAAGTGGGGCTGTCCTTGGGTTACATATGGGAAAAGTAGGCCCTCGATTGGGGAGGTGATTTTTGATAGTAGGAAGAGTCATCCTTTGCTCTCTTTTCTTAGTCAGGGCTGGGTATGTAGGACACTATGGGCCCTATTGAAGGCTACGGTTTTTCCTTTGTCCCCTTCATTAGGAGATATATTGGATAAGTGGACTAAAGAAGCTGAGAAGAAAGGAGCTCCTGTTTACTCTTATAGAATTGGGCTCAAACAAAAAACCTGGCTTTTCCAACTACCCATTGATAACTTTTGACTCTTGAGCTCCCAAATACTATCCTTATTTGGGTTCTACCTTGAGGACTTTTGTCTGAGGGTGGCCTCTGACAACCTTTATGATATATGTTTCATTGACAGACTGACACCCAGAAGAACCTGATAACAGAGGCAGGATTTTTAGGATGGTCTTTTTTGGTCTAACTATTGTTACTCTTTTCACTCCAGTGAACTTCTTGAAGAGTAGTTATTAGTGAAATGCCTTGGAAGGAGCTTCCTAGATCTATTGGTGTTTCTTTTCTTTTGTTAATCAGATGGAGCTCTGTTAATAAGTATATCTGGAGGTTGGTTTGAGTCAGGCTGAACCTCTGAATCCTTAGCCCACCCCTGTCATCCTAAAATCCAATATAGGAATGACTGAGTAACAGAATCTATTAATAGAAATCTTCCTGAATTCTGGGTTGGAAGCTGAGAATGAATTCCGGGTCAGATTTTGGGTGTGAGGGAGATGGATCCCCTACTCTTGCTGGGAGCAGGAGAAGAATACAAGCTTTGCTCCTACCCACAGGGACAGGAATCTGTCATTTGTCCCCATTCCTCTTTTTCCAGTAGGGAACAATATTTAGATAGTCCTTGCCTTATCTCTGTTTCACTTATCTAAGGAAAAAGATTGTGTTCTCTGATGGAGACATGAGGAGGGTCACTGTACACATACACTCTATATTTCCTTATCTCTTTTGCACCTCCCTACATAAAATATGTATGCATTATACTCTGATCCTGCTTTCATATGGTAAGCACATCTGCTGAGACCAGGTCTGTCTTCCAGAGGCAGGTCTAAAGAGCACCTCTCTCCTACTTTGGAGGCAGTGATGCCTCTTGCTGCTATCCAGGTAAGTGTTTCCTTTGCATATTTTCCTTTTGATTGGTCACCTCAAGACCAGGAATTGGGAGGGGCTGAAGAGGCAGTGTATTAGCCCAGTTTGATCATGATATATCTTCACTGACAAAGTCCTGATATTTTGATCTTTATTAATCTGATTCATGTATCTATTATTTGTTTGGTTGAAAACTTGGAGGGGAAAGGGATATAATTAACTTTCTCCATTAAACCCTAACACATTTAAGTGTATATTGGATGTTAAATCTTGAGGAATAGGCACTCCAACAGGAATTAGGGAATCAAAATAAGATGTGTAGAGGTTGGATGTATGCTTTAGTGACTTGGACCTTTCAGTTCTTTGGCTTTTTCAAGTCCAAGCTATTTGTGGTAGCTATTGTCTGCCTCCAAGCCAGTTTTTTGTTGTTGTTTTTTAAATAACGGGTCGAACTCAGGTCCTTGCATTTGCAGGGCAGGCACCGGAACCACTGAGCTAAATCCCCAGCCCTAGCCAGTATTTTTTTAGAGGCACTAGGCATAGCTGTACAGGCCAATGTGACTGATCTTGAATCACATAGATCTAGCTGAATTAGGCTTGCTGCAGAAAGGGAAGATATTGCACCACTGAATGGATCAACTTGTGCTGTCTTTATTTTCAGCCACAATGAAGGTGAAGACTTTAGACACAGTAGCCTAAATTCCACAATCCTGTAATTAAAAATACAAATTTAGGAATTTTAGTCCTTACATTGTGTGAAAGGTTATCAGGTAGCATTAAATCAGGTTTACCCATTTCACCTCGCTTTAGGATCTTGACTGAATTGCATTCTTTTAAAGAGATAAGGAGAGATAAATGGGAAGGACCAAGTTCTTTATTTCATAGAGGTTAGAGACACCCTCTGGTTTTGTGGACTATGTAAACCCCAAGAGGAGAATTCCTGAAATTCTCTATATATTCAACCACAGAAGAATAATGGATTTTATCATAAACATATAAAGAGGAGTGGAAATATTGCTTATATAGGGCTTTGTGGAAGGGAAAGGCAAAGCCAAGAAGGAAATTAAAAAGAGTTATGCCTAGATTCTTCTGCCAATAGGAATCACCTCTATTCAGGGAATTAAGTAGGAGCCATGTTTGTTTCATATATATATATAATATATATATAATATATATTATATTATATAATATATATTTAGATCTTGAAGTCAGAAGTAGTGAACAGTGAAAAGTAAATAGAGGAAGGCAGACTGATTAAGCTGGAGAAAGAAAAAGATTTCTTTAGAAAGATTGTGTTCTTTGATTACAGTATTGATATGAAAGGAAAAGGAAAGATCAGGAGATGAATCTAAAAGATGGAATTATAAGAGTGATATTTTAGTCATTACTGTTAGAGGAGGTGATTGGAATGAGTTCTAACAAGAATAGAAGCAAGCTTTCAGAGGAAAAAAACAGGAATGCCTACCCCTACAAGAGATTTCAGGTCAAAGAAAATATTGAGATAATTCTGCCTGAATTTGCAGAGAAAGTAATGGGAAATCATCTCTTCAACCCTGAGATAGGTATTCTAGATTGTTACAAAGAATGTAGATAATACTCCTGACATTTTTAGCTTAGTTTCGGTGATACTACCTTGTCATAGATACACAAATATGGCTTGGAGAATATACAGAATTTGGTCTCCAAGGGAAAGTATAGGGTAAGAAACATGAAATATATCAATCATCAAAGTGAAGAAGGAAGAAAAAAGGCATGATCATCTCAGTGGGTTCCAAAAATAAGTATCTGTTAAAACTGAGCACCAATTTTTAATTTAATTTAAAACCTTGGTAAGCTAGTAACAAAAGATAATTTCTGAAATTGATAGTATCTACCAAAAGCCTACTGTAAACATCAAACTTAAATATTAAAAGATTACAAGCATTCCTATTGACCATATGGTAAGATAGATCATCTCAATAAACTCCAGGCAGCTAATAACATAAATAACATAAATTTACAATAAAAATATCACTAGTAATCCTTAGTTTGTGAAATGTAAAAGCAAACCACTACATAGCTCTTAGAATATTATGAAAATTTAGAACTGAATGAAAACAACACGATTTATCCACTAGAGGAAGAACAGTAGTAGTTTATAGACTTAAATTTTTTGTTTTAAGGAATGAAAGTGAGTGAATAAGCTTTTAACTCCAGGGGGAAAGGAAAACAAACACAAAGAAAATACAGACATTACCATGAACTATGAATCTGCAACTGGGAAGATACTGATCCTAAAGGAGCAAATAATGGGTTCTTAAAAGCAGTGGAGGACCTTAGATACCAAAACAGTTGTGGCTTCCAAAAGAGCATATTATGTAGTATATACTTAATGCGTGGTGTAACATTTTATATGGGCAGGGAAAAAGAACCTAAAAACAATTCTAAAAGGGTGTTAATGAAAAGTTTGAAAAACGTTACAGATAAAAGCAGAAGTTAGTAAGGCAAAATGAGCAGAGCAAACTCTTTAATAGATTCATTTGGCAAATATAAATTAAAAATAAGATGGCACAAAGAAATTATTAGGGTTAAAATCTTAAAAAGACAAAATCATATGACACATTAGCAGATGTTTCTATTTTGTATTCATTTATTTTTTATTAGTGCATATTTGTAGCACATAATGATCACGTTCCTCTTAGGGATTTAGTGCATGTATGCAGCACATCTTAATTCTTTTTTTCATTGCCTTTCCCTCTCCTTCCCCCTCCC